AAACAGAGTTCCATGCAGTGTTTTCCCTCTCTATATAGAAGATGAAGCATGCTAAAGGATTTTTTGTTCTGGCTTAGAGTAACTTTCCCTGTCATTTTGTTCAAAAGCTTTGTCGACCATAAATTTGGCACTCCTTTTGATCGTATGCCTGTATAATTCATGTATGGCTGGTTGATGTATAGGTCATTAATGTCCTACCAACAGTAAAGGTCACATGACGACGTGCCACCATGTTTATGCTGGAGGCAGGGTATGTTGGTATATTTTTGCCTCTTTATATCGTTGCCTCACTGAAATACCATGCCCAAGGCACCCACCATTGCATACTGATTGGTAACATTGTACTGACAACGGGGGAAGCCGGAGTTGAGTCATGTTTAATGTAAAGGTTTTGAGTTCGACCCATGCATATTTCTTTTTTGTGTTCTATTTTCAAACATTCAAATTTCGAATTACTACAACTAGGTAAAAATTCTTAGCAACCTGTGATTTTTATTAAATATATATATATCTCCTAGATATATCTTATGTTTTTAGGGTAAAATCACGAAATCAATAATATAAGGTCGTACTCGTTTTACGATATGATATAATGACACTTCTAGTGAAATAACGGACCAATTTTTCTCAGATCCGGAATTGTGTCCTCTGGAAGGCGATTACTTGTGTTACTGAAATCTGGTATATCCTTTAAAATATCCTCTGGTAGCGAGCTGGAACATTTTTCTGTGGTCAAGAATACTAATATGAATCAATATAATGCGCCGTTCAATCATATCTCCCCTCTCTTGTCTGTATTCCTTCGTTGGCAGGCTCTGGGTTTTAAGGAAAACAAACAACTATTGGTTACGGAGTCTGCTTTTCGTTCATTGGTCATATAATACACATTCCCAACGGATATTTAATTCCTTTTCAATATATAACTGACGTTCGTGTAACACAGCCTAGATGTGTCTGATAGGTGTTAACGTTTCGGTGACCAGTACCACGCCCACTCTACCAACTCCATCAGATGACTGATCAGTCAAGGGTAACTCTATCGAGATAGACACAGGGTACGAGACAACTTCACAAAGGGGTTGTAGTCAGCTTCGACACGTTTTGTAATGGGAAAAGCCTTTTGGGTAAAGAACCGCTCCACACAGGCATATCTAAAGTATATTTATAACTCGACCGATCGCTCGGTTGTTCTGATCGATGTGATTTTGATGGTCGATCAAGTAGACCCGAAATCCTCTGCCGGTCCCTATACTCGATTTTGTAGACGCTCTCCGCGATGTTTTCCTTCATTGGTTTATCCACAGGATGCATAAGGACATAACGGAGAGCCTGGTGAGGTTTCATTACTTTGTCATGGTTGCGGTATACTGGGTGGTTTACAACATGGTTTTGATGTAGTTGGAGATGATAAAATAAGCCTTTTTTGTTAGATTTTCCCTCTGTTTAGTTACCCGTATGCGTGTCCAGTCGTAGGTATCTCCGTTGCGATGGATGAATGGACAAGAAACGCAGATATACCAATATATACGGGTGTTATTTTTGTAAACCAAGAACGTTCCTGCTCCATTCATTCTTCATTTGTTGGCCGGTTTCAGCGCTTTGTCCATTTCCAAGTGTTCGCAATTTTAGTACTTAGCTTCAATAACCATTGTCCATTCACCAAGATGGCACCACCAGCAACACGTTTTTACTATATAACTTGTCATATCAAGCACATCCTGCAGGTCCTGGATTGAGAAAATAATGTACCTGCTGCTACCCACAGCATGTAGTAAGAGGCAAGAATAGATTAACAAGAGATCCCAGAGGGATCTTGGCGCCCACCTTTGTACCATCTTCATTAGTTCTTTGTCAGTTCGATCTTTTCTCTTCTTTCCTCTAATCTGTTTGATCAAGTCATGTTAACAGTAAATGCACCTTGAGGTAACTTTTGATCTAAACTTAATACTGATGTGTATGAAAGCCAACCTTCAAAGTGAGTTCGTCATTTCACATATTTACTAGTACAGTACTTAATGTGAAAGAAATAGAATCGATCATTGCAATATGAGAAAGATGTTTAGTTCTTCTTTTAATCCATTTTGTTTTTATGATCAGTCTCAAAATATAACATACACAACGAGGGATCAAGGGGAACCTACATTTAAAATTTGAGAAAGATCCCTCCCGTACTTAGAAATAGCGATAACAAACTTTCACTATCAAAATCCAAGATGGCTGCATGTCGGCCATGTTGTTTATCCGATCAGTCTCAAAAGTTGTCCTGCACAGCTAAGGACCAAGGGGAACCTACATATAAAATTTCGGAAAGATCCCTCTGGTACTTCTTGAGAAATAGCGATAACAAACTTTCACTATCAAAATCCAAGATGGCTGCCTGTCGGCCATGTTGTTTAGCCGATCAGTCTCAAAAGTTGCCCTGCACAGCTCAGGACCAAGGGGAACCTACATATAAAATTTCGGAAAGATCCCTCTGGTACTTCTTGAGAAATACCGATAACAAGAATTGTTTACGGTCGGACGACGGACGACGGACCACGGACGCAGGGTGATTTGAATAGCCCACCATCAGATGATGGGGGGCTAAAAATTGGAAGCAAGCAACTAAAAGACTGGAGTTCATCCCCAAAGTCGACCAGCCATCCAGAGGTCGTTACGAGACGATTTATAACGCCCAGCTGCACTATTTCATTGCGATTGACACTAAAGAGTTGCACAGGCCCAGGAGCTTTGCTTTGTTGGTCTCTACGTATATATATTGATTGCCCGCTTTGTCAGTTCTTGTATCCATATTTGGCCAGACAATAAAGAAGTTTGAGGCACGATATAAAATGCTTACGAAAAGTCTACGAACTTCTCCATCATCTTCTACGACTCTGAAAGTCTCCTATATTGTGGAAACCGGTAATTTCTATGCAAGCACATTCTACTTTCCCTATTTCAAATGTCCCTTTACATTACGCTGATCACAAATGGTCATTTAGAAATACTTCCTAACCTCTGTCGGACACAATAGTCAAGCAAGAAAACAATGAAATTCAGCAACTGTGATTAGAGATAAACTTTAGTTGAGTTAAAGTTATTGTACACGTTCATCAACGTCGGCCAGTGATATACAAACGGTGTCCACCATGCAGCTGGTTAGGAAGAATAAAGTTCATAACAGGACACTTTTGTGACGTGAATGACACTCGAGTCGATTGCTGTTTCTACTGTGAATATGTATGTTGCGAATGTTGAAAACAAACTACATTGTATGTGTTAAATATACACTTCACTGACTTGGTTACGATGAAACGGTCTCGTCCATATATCGGGTTCCACAGCGTTGTTTCATCTCTATCGGGGTAATTAAACTGCTGCAAGGACTATACTTGTGTGACGCAGATAGGAATTTGGCCTTCATTTTAGGCCACATGGACCGGAGAAGTTTAGATATTGTATGACCTAAACTATGGCGTCCCGAGTAGCTATGCGTTTTAGGGGTTTAGATCAATTTTCTGTAAAAATGCCACCTCCAATGATGATAATATACTTAGTTTAGATACAAATATAGTTGTGTAACGAATTCTCGGGTCCGTGTGTTTTAGGCTTATCTTGTGACTTGAGAGACTGCAGTGCAGTGCACCATTGTTCGGAGATAGTCCGACTTAGTATGATGTGCACAGGCTACCTACTACATCATAAACTTGCATTGAACCCGGTGAGCTCAACGCCCTAGTCACTGGTCTGTAGCTGTTTTAGTAACTTCTTTCTGGACATCTGTTTATTGGGTTTCTTTTGTGGATGGTCCCATATTCCGTCTAAAGAGTGAGGCCCAGTAGAGGGACTTCATATTTGAAGATGTATTGTTTATCAAATGAAACTTATCATATGTTATTATAAAAGTTAAGTATATTGGTGATTAAATTCCAATTTTATTTTCCGACATGATATACTTTGCCTGATCCCTCTAAATCATGTAAAAAGAGAATCACAATAGCCCAAACATATCTGGATTTTCGTCTGGTTTGGAAGTTACTATATACTTCCTATTTGGGTGGAGAGAAGAAAAACCTGAAAATTTGAAAGAAGCTTTAGTTTCTATAATTTTAAATGTCATGAATTTACATAACCACAGATTTTTTTTTATCAATTAAAGAGATATTTTTGAGAATGTGTAGCAAAGCTAAACAGCATCGTAGAAATAGGACCGCGGTAACTCTATACTAGCTACTTTCGTGACGAATGATTTTGGAAGCATAGTATTTCAACGTTACCATGACTTCAATTGTTTGTACACATGTTACCGGAAAAGAGCTTCGCTTCTTGCGCCTTCGGCGCCAAAAGAGCTGTGCTCTTATTAATGCAAGTGATGGGAACCAATATCGACAGTATACCAATGCATTGCAATGGAGGTAATCAAGATTTGCTGTACTGTATAGACAATATAAATTTCACCCACATCATGACATAGCAGAGTTGTTCAAAGCATAAGCTAATGCTTTATAGTAATTTAATGCAAAATGTCTATCTAGACTGATGTTTAAAATAAGGCCAAAACAAACTGTTTCCAGTAACCCTACCTAACCTAATTGTTGTGTCAAGATCCCTCTCCTTTATAAACCATATAAAACTATTTTGAAAATTTAGTTGTTTACATACAGATTTTTTTCAACCATGTTACAGGAAAAGCAAATTTGTTTGTTTGACATAAAAATATATTATATTCAAAGTGACCCCCTATAAACATGAAACCAAAACGTTTATAAATTTCTTAATATTTCTCGAAATCCAGATTTCGAAGATTTTTGATGACTCGTAAAGCCAAGGAAACTTGGAAAAACAGGCCCTGGCCATTGAAGACAATGGACTCACAGTAAATTCCTGTTCTCTTGATCAAGATGAAAAGGAAATTATAATGGGCAAATATTAAGCATTGTACCATACCTAAAGTATTACCTAAAATGTATTGTTCTTTTTAGAACATATAAACGATGTATTAAAAACAAACAAGAAGCTTTCAGTCAATGTTGTTATTTTTTTGGGGGGCAAAATCTGCGATCACATAAAAAAAGGAATTCAAAGGAGTACATGACATTGAAAGTACAAAGCTGATCAAGTATAAATAATTCTCTCACTTCTCTCACACCACACGATGAGACTAGTCTGTCCTAACCAATAGATTGGACAGACAGCTGGTCCAAATAGCACTAGGTTGTACCAGTAGTTGAACAGTTAATAGCAATAAGAGAACTAAACCATCCATCCGTCAGATTTTGATCACAGATCCAGTTGTCTATTTTTGTTCCATATTTCTCTGAACAGAACCATCTATCTGCCTGTTTTTCATCCACAATTCCTATAGACCATAAACTATTCGGACCGGAATGAATAGAGTATCTTTTTAAATGACACCTCTTGATAACATCCGATTACAGATGTTAAAGCTGTAAGAGTTTAACCTGGTAGTCAATTTCTCTGCAGCTGCGGTTTTTTGGCTGTACTAACCACAATCAGCAATTCAATAAGTATCATAAATAAATATGGGTAAAGCCATGATAGAATAATCTGATATTGTGGTTCATAATTTATCACCAAAAATAACGTGGTTAATTTGTAATATCACAAACAAAATAAAAATTCTTTCATCAAAGCAGAAAATTAACAAAATGGAATATAGAATTATGTAAGCTAATTCAATGAGATAGAGGTTCTCCTTCATACTTTTTTACCTGTTTAATTCAAATTGCTATAGATATCATGATGTTTCTCACATGCCCATGACAGTTCAATACACACATCAGCACACAAGTTTCTTTCTCTTACACATCTTCAAACATACAATATATTTCATATCTAAACATTCTCCAAACAAAATCTGAGGCGCTCTCATCAACAAAAGAAGGGGGATTATATAAAATGTAGGCAGCCATGTATGCCCTTTGAACAGAAATGGAAGTATCCATGAACGTCATTTGAACAGAAATGGAGGCACCCATGTCCTTTGAACAATTCCTTATACCAATGTATAGTTTTAGTCATCATCCCAGTGTTTGTTATCCTTTGCCTTTGGTCCACCGGCTTGCTTGGCCATGATAATCTGTCAATGAAAAAACATTATATATAATACTGTGCTTTACTAATTTTCTTGAATACTTATTATCAGTTTTTTGTTGAGGATCTAAATTCACTATTAGATATGTAAATTCTAACCTAAACTTTTCTATTTCCTGCATACTTATTTTTGGCCAGGTAAATAAGTGTCAAAATATCCAAACCCAAATATATATACATATGTATATCATATTTATCACAGATATATAGAATATTTGAATTACAGAATGTGATTGCATATGTGAACATTTCCTCGTTTGTATGTATCTTAAAAAAACTAAGATTTGATTAATTAAATGAACGTGAAAATATATATCTCTCAAAATACAGATGACAAACAGTGCTGTGACATAACTTTCATGATTAATCCCTAAATAAGTCACATAATCATATTTAATATTGAACAGTGCCTTACTAATGGGAAAGACCACAACCGTATCTCACCTGGTCCACTTTGAGTACAGTACAGGCTGCTGCTGTGGCAAACTTGATGCCCCAGTATTTGTTCAGGTACAGATCTAAGATTCCTTTTTCTACAGCATCGGCCACATCTACTGGACTAGCCTGTCACACACGCAAATTAAAAAGAAAATGAAGAAAAATGCACAATGTTGCATATATATATATATATATATATATATACAGTACTCCTGAAATATGAGTCAAAAGAGGAAAAAATAGGAATTGCACTTTTCTAAGTGGTCATATTCATGTTCTTAAAAGAGAAAGCAAAAAAAGGGTCTAACATTCAAACTAGTAAAATTCACAAAAATTAACTTGTCTGACAAGCAGACATCGAAACCCTGATTATTATGATTAATGAAAAATATTATTGGTACAGGAAGGACAAGAAACTATACAAGATCACATTTCTGTATTATTCATCGATTCTGATCAAACAGAAATATTGCACGATAATAAAAGCTATTAAAGCATGTTTATCACATCAATAGCATAAAGTTTTATCACCTAGTTTGATTCTGTAACAGTGGTGGACAGGTCTAGAAAATTACCTCAATATCAACTCCGACATTCTTTTTCCCCTCCTGGTGAGCAGCATAGAGCTTGGACAGTACTTCAGTGGCCTGTAATAACAATCGTATGGTTAGTTCCTTTGTTGGTTCTCCTCTATGTTTAGTACATGCAATGTTAAATGTTAAATTGTTGTCAGAGAGGTGTTGTTCCTCTGATTGACAGTAATAATAGGATCATATTGCCTGGACAGTTGTGTTTCAGAATCACTTTGATCACAGGGTCATGGTATTCTTTACACATTTAAGTACAAGGTTAGATAATGCAAAGTCAATTCTTAGTTTTTTCGGGCAAATTTTCACACATTTGATGAGGAAGGGAATATTTTCTTCTCTTTCCATGAGAGAGAGACTTGAACATCTGCTTATATATATATTTAACATCTGCTAATATATATATTTTTATGAGGGAATTTTCTCTAATTCAGAAAAAAAATCCTTTTAAAAGGTAAAGTAGTTTTCTTTATATTTTTATATGTCAAAATATAAGATACCATCTCTTATACCTATGGTGGGTACAATTTTATTGTATCCATTGCATTGCATCCATCATATATTTCCCCCAAATTTGCAATAGATTGAAATCACGCTTGAATTTCATCTCAATTCATTAAACTACATTACTGACATCAGTTAAACCTGCATCTTTGTTTTCGATAGATTTGCATTTTATTTTATAAGATTTGCAATGAAGAGGGTTTATAACAGATGCAAATTGGCCACAGAGAAACAATTTGATTACTACAAAGCAGTCTAAACCAAAATCCATTATGACTAATGTTTCATTTCAATATAGACAAAACAAAGGTTTAATGCACAAAGTAAATATATAAAATTCTTTTTAATCAATACTGTATATGTGAAAAGGATATGGTTGGCAAGATATATATTGGAATCATTACCAGCTAAAAACCTGATTTATATTTGAGAACGTTTCTTACCTTTGCTCCTGCATTTTCGGAGATAGCTCTTGGAATAACTTCTAAAGATTCTGCAAACTTCATAATTGAATACTGCTCTAGACCAGGTTGCCCCTTTGAGAAACATCAAATTTTTTGGTTACAATTCTGTATTCAAATCATATTTGTTTGTTTGGGGGGGATTTTGAGAAAAATAATATAAATATATATTTAGTGATATTGTTTCAATGGACAGAGCTATTGATATTTTTTGCAAGTGTTGCATGGAGATAATTTCTGAGAATTTGTTCTAGGTACAAATCTGGGAAAATCTGACACTTTAAAATTAAAACACATAACAATTTTGACAGAAAAATGTTTCTTTTTCTATTGAGTAACATAAAATGAACACTCACCTCTCCATATGTGGTCAACTGCTTGGCCAACTCTATTTCAGTGGCACCAGCTCCTGGTACGACCCTCACATCCTGCACAACAATTTTTGTTTTTGAGTTTTTGAATTTAAAATACATCAGTTACTTTTATTTGCAATTCAAATTTCAAACCTTCTAAGTTGAGTTTATGTATTAGTTGTCTCCCTTACCTTTGTTAATGCTTTGAATGTATTTACACCATCATCAACAGCACGTACAATATCATCCAAGATATTGTCTGTGGAGCCTCGGACAATGATGGTCGACACTGCACTCTCTTCCTTGTCTGAAGGAAAAGAATTGTATATGAGGTCAATTATTTTTTTATGTTCAAACATCGTTATAAATGATCGAGTGATCTATTGATATTGTACTTTCTGCGTTTTGAAATTATCTCTGCGGCAACCTCTCAGTGCGTGCATGCTCTAATTGGACCTGTTCATTTTTATTCAAATCCAAATGTGAACAAAAATATTTGATTAGATAGAGGTATATATTATGATATTTATAATTCTTACTTGTGATGTATTGTGTGTGTTATGTGTGAACTCAGACACATAACTGACACTATGTTGTCGGTCGACAGCATAGTGCTGTACATGTTTACTTCTCACTGAAAGGTTGGTATATTGCGCTAAATCGGTCGTAGCTATTTTTATCACTGGCTTTCCCAAAAAAAGAAACTGACCACACTGGACGTTGGCTTCAGGTCGGTTCATTATCAACTACATAAACTTTTGTTAGGATATATATATTTTCAGTTTCGACTTGATTTTCAGGTTATCAAAACAATTTACTTCACTTAATTGTCCCTTTAAAGCTAGTCGAGCTAAAAATCGTTGATAAAGATGCAGTTTATACCTTGTTTGAACACAATAACAGCGGTGTCTCCTATCTCATCTACAAACACATGGTCACAGTATCCACATTCTTCTGTTGTTGGTGCGGTCTGAAATGTGGAGAAAATTATCTTTTTTATTTATTCATATCAAGTCCCAATGCTTCACACTCTCTAGGCTAACAGTTTGAAGGTTTTATATTTCACATAATTTTATCCGACCATAATAACAGCAAAATCTACATTTAACTTTATTTTCTATATGGCACCTTTAGATTTAAGTTTATTCATGTTAGTACATTCCTAATCATACAACTGAAATAAAATGTCAGAGACTTCATATAAACTTTAAAGAAAACTTTTCAATCCCTTTGAAAATTTGTTTACTATTGTTAAGCTCCCAATTTTGGTGTGTTCTTACATTTTTTTTGCAATGAACAAAAGAATTCAGCTAATCCATAACTTGTCGTTTCTGAGAAACATTATAGGAGATAATAATTCACTATAAACCTAGAAAAACTTGTACTACAAATGCGGATTTATTTTGGCAAAATAAATATGAGTTATATTTGTATAGCTATAATGCTACAGGAATAAGACGAACTAACCTTCTCCTCCCAAAAAACATGCCACTTTAATTGATAAACATCAAACAAGTTCTATTCAAAATTTATGTCACATAATGATGCTTTAGTTTGCAGCTGTTAAACTAATGCTACTTACAACTCTAGGAAGGGGTGTGGCTCCTATCGACTTGCACAGTCTCCTCAGGTCCCACTTTGACATCAGCCTCACCACCATCAGCTGGTATTTGTTACAGAAATGGAGGGCAAGCTCACCAACCTTTCCTCCAGATACCACCACCTTACAGCCAGTGCCAGCTATTGCTTTTATTTGCTATGGAAAGAAAACATAATATAATTTTTTCAACATCTTCTTTTTTATGTAGACAATTTGCCTGTAAACAAAATGATACACAATCTATTTTGATTTCTAATGACTGCATAAAAGATTTTAGGAAACACATGTCTGCTACATGATCATTTTCCATTACTAGTGTAAATTTTAAGTTAATTATCTCTAAATGAAAGTACTTCATTTGAAAAAAATGTTTTTACTAAAACAACCTAATTGTATCATTTTGTACTTACTTCTTCCATTAAATTTTCTTCTCCCTTGCTGAATGATGTCAATTCTTTAGCTGTTTTGATCAATACCTTACCCTGAAAAAACAATTGGTAATGAGCTTATAAAATCTCTGTACCTTTCCCAGTAGACAAACATGTATAGAGGTAAGGACTTAGTATATATGTGGCACCCTGCAAACTGTTAGTTATAAAATGTAATGTATTTTATTTGTATAAGTGTTCTCTGAATTCTTAAATAGTTTCTGCCTACTTATCTCCGGGTTTTTTTGTGCTGATTCTAGAAAATCTGTACTGCCGCCAGATTTCAAACTTACATTTTGTACGGTAATATTCTATATATGTGTAACACAACATATCCACAGTAAGTCCAGATCATGTATATTTGGGACTGTATAGTCTGTAACTGACCAATTCACTTGAGCTATATGATTTGAAGGTGAACTCTCCAGGATTAATTTACTTACAAAGCTGGATCTTCAATACAACATTATGTATGCCCTTAGCACCACAGGCAGGGTAACCAGATTAACATGTTATATTCAGTGGAATTAATTTCTTTGAAGTTGCTAGAATATATTCTTCATAACTTTATTGTTCACAAGATCTTGGTAAGAAAACAATCCAAAATGTGGGTAAGCAGGGTTTGGTCTATCACTAGTTAGAAATGTAATGTATTAATTTTAAAAATGATGTGTTTGAACTTCCCGCCGATTCAAGGTAACTTGATTTATTGTATAAATATAAAGTCTTCTTGCATGCTGTCTATTGGCATTCTGCTGTAAACAAGGACTTGACAAGTAAAAAATTCCCAATTGACAAGTGGTTTTCAAAATTAATTTCTAGCCCTGTTCAAGGACTAAATTTTTCATGCTGGAGAAAACATTTAATCAGATTGTAACTATTGTAAATGGAGGTACTTCAAAAATCAACAGCCAGATTGCATGGCAAGCAACTGAAGGAGACTCAAAGGGACATAATCAAAATCAAACTGTTCTTACCGTTGTCTCTGTCTGCATTGAGTCGAGTGGACAGGAAAAGACCGCCACTTTACATTTCTCAGCCTTGGTTAGATCTCCCTCAACTAGTCGCTTGAACACCATGCCTCTAATTACAGATGAATTATTGATTCCACTCCCCTACAATGGTCAAATTCATAACCACTTATGGAAGTGCAGCAGTTCCAAATACTTTGTAATATACTTTAATTAATAATTTAGATAACTGAATAAAGTATATACATATATTTTCCAAGGTAAAGGCTGTAAGGGCTTCTGACGCATACATTAGAATTAAAATGAAAATTGATAAAAATCTAGATTCTTCAAAATGTTTATTAGACCTATTTTAATACAGAAATGAGCAATGGTTAATACATAAAGGTTTCTATAGAACCCTTTATTTCAATGAATTAAGACTCAGTAATTACAACTTACCAGAATTTTGGAGGTTCTGACATTATCTACGTTGAAGCTCACTTTCTGAGGTAAAATGGATACTGAAAGTAGAATACAACAACACATATCAATCTCAATACTTCATATAAAAATCGTGAGGAAATGGATTCAAAAAGTCAACATATGGTTAATCAATATAAACCTAAAACATAAGTAGATTCATAACCCTGACATAAGGTCAATATAACACAACTTAAAGTCTCCAATGAAGATAATAAGCTAATATAAAGTTAACATTTGGCAGCTAATTATTAATAAAAGATAACAACTCCAGAACAGTATGTACAAGAAACAGTTAAAAAAAAAGGAACCTAAATCCAGTCTCAAAAGTGTTTTTAATGCAACAAATCATACCATCCCCCCCCCCCCCCCCCCCCCATTGTATTTCAGTATAAAGGCTACCCCAGATATAGAACAGCACCAGCAACAGCAAGAAGCTTAACTGACCTATGGGTGGTAGGGTCTCGATAGTTCAATTCAATAGAGGGATCCAAGAAAAAGAAAGTGTGAATAGTTGGGGTTACAAAAAATGCCCCTAAATTAATTGATTTAAATGAATCTGTTCTTTTTGGTTAATGTTAACATACCAATACGTGTGAAAGTATAAAAAACACCTTGCAATACATTTTCCATTAGTACTCAACACTACTAATAATTACACAAAAAACTTGTCAGTTTTTTTTAACTTACTGCAGGCATCCACAACAAGGCCTGCGAGAAAGTCTTCATTTCCGTACTGCTTGCTCATGATAGCAGATCTGACAATCTTTGTGACCTCCTCTTTGTTTCGCAGGTTCTTTATTTCTCCACACACAAGATCTAAAACAACCAGACACAACTATTGGATAACCTGTGAAAATAGACTAATCATTTTTTACTTTCCAAAGAAATATTAGTAAACCTGTTAATTTGTAAAACTAATCATTGTTTGAAGGTACTCCAACCTAATAACAAAGAAAGATTTTATATCAGACCACACTGAAAAATAGTTGTTTCTGCTTTTGGCTCTACAACAGTTATTAAAGGATAAAAGTAAGAAAAGCTATATATTTCAATGGTTTTTTTTTTAAATGTTGAGAAACAGCATTTTAGTCTTACATCTTATAAAGTGCTTGTTTAAAACGAAAATGTTTAGCAGATAGGGTTGGTTGTATAGGGTTTAACGTCATATGGCAAATAGGGAAAGAAGAGCCCAATATTTTTGGCTTAAAGTAAATGCAATACCAAAATTATGTTTCCTTTCAATAATTTTGATTTTGATAATTTTGCACAAAAAAACCCCTACCAGTTCATTAAACTGCAGGGATTTGACCAAATGAGTAAGCTGTCTCTATGTAATCATGAGGTTTTGAAAAGAAAAAAAAAAAATTTCAAGATAAAAGTATTTGTTTTTAATGTGTGATTAAAATAATTCCATCATTCTCTCTGTCTGTATGATGCTCTACACTTAGGGTCTGAAAAGTCACATCAGAGGGCAAACTCTGGTGAACTTTCATTCAATACCCACATGCTTGCATGTTTCTTTTCCAATGAGAATTTTGAAGGCATCACATTTACTGGCTGCAGTAAAAAATATCATCAGAACCTGACCCTAGTCAGATTCTATATTGTAGTGTATCGTAGACGAATAAAGCAAAAGATTAATGTATTTTGCCCTCAAGCTTAAATAATCTTTGTGAAAGACAGATGGATATAACTGTATATTTTTTTCTATACCTGGAAGAAGGTCGTGAGCTTTTTTAGCAGCCAACTCATATCCGTCGGTTACTTCTGTTACAGACAAACCCTGTAAAATGTCATAAAAACAATGTTTGTCATAATTAGTAAAAGAACAAAGGCTTAAGCATATTATATATACATTGATCAAACAAAATTGCAGCTTCAATGACCATTGTTTCAAACGTTTCTTTCATAAATCATTTTAATTTAGTAACCAACATTATCATTTAGTAACCAACATTATAATTAACTAGTAAGTTGGCTGGAATATTTAATATGCTACTGTTTGATACATTGCTCAATCTACATTAACTTCTTTCAAGAAATGTTAGGAGTCTAATAAGAAATCTAGGAGTATAGGACCTCTGACTTAACAGACAAAGTACACTTAACAATGTTCAGGGATAATCCTGGAGGGGGCCATTCACCCTTAAAAACTGAAAGTGACCCCTTCATGTTCCAATTTTCTTCTAATTTTACATAGAATAGCTCCTCTTAATTTTGATATTGACTAAAAACTGCTGAAATGGCCCACTGCTCTCAAATTCTAGGATTTCCCCTGATGTTGATGTGTGATGATGTTACTTGACGATCATAATTGAGCGTACCATCCTCAGCAGACTTTCGGCCTGCTCCAACAGAGCTCCAGCAAACACAAGAGTGAAGTTGGTACCATCTCCAACTTCCTGCTCCTGCTGATGAGATGCAATCACCAACATCTTGGCTGCTGGGTGCTGAACCTCCAGCTCACGTAAGATGGTTGCGGCATCATTGGTCACAAACAGCTTCTCCAGTTGGTTGATGACCATCTTATTTTGGCCTACAACATAAAACAACAATACAAACCATATGTATAGTTCATCTTACACTTCTTCTTAAAGTCACAATTGTCTGCAAATGTCTTAAAACTGTAAAAAATTTGCAAGACAAGAATGGTTTCAAGACCATGTAAAATGATTTTCATAGTTTTTTTCTTCTTTCTAAAATGATGGTGATTTCACCTTGGCCCTTAAAGTATATATACATTTTGTTTCATGGTATTACCCTATTTGATAAATTCAGCTGAATACTCTTATCTTTCTTTCAATTCATTGTATGAGCTTAATAAAAAGTAGTTAAGAAATAAGTTTGCATGAGCAGCGATAAACATTTTCCCTTAAAGGCAACAATGATCTTGTTTTCCTGAAACATGACCTTATCCAAAGAATTTTCATATTTGACATTTGTGTAGGGTTATAACTATACGTTATTTCACAATTCAAAATATATCACAATACAAGTCACCAGCAAATAACTCAATTAAAGCAGCAACATTCTGAGGATAACACTGATTTTAATAAATTATTTGTCGACTGATTGGGTAGATAAAGCATTTTTGATGAGGTAAGAAGTTTGCTGAGGTTTCTGTGAATTTTGTCCAAGTGTCCTGCTATATCATCTTACCAAGTGGACCCAGTGCAGATCTTGTGGTCCTGGCTAGCTCCTTACAAGCATCTATGTTCCGATATACTGCCTCCTCTAGTCCGCTGTAGTGCTGCACAATTCAAAGACAAATGTGAAATATTTGTCATGTCATCATTCTCAACAGAGTCTATATATATTTGTCTAATATTAATAAAATATTTCACTTCAAAAAATGTGAAAGTAAAAAGGCAAGAGGAATTAAAAAAGGTTACAGCTCACTCTAAATACATTAGCCTGCCCTCAAAACATAATTCTTGCATACTTTTCCTGTAAAGCATCTCTTCATGTTCTGTAAAATGCATGGCAACAAGCAATTTTTACAGAATATTTCTTTTGAAAAGGACTTAAACAAGTATTTCACAACAATAGTAATACAGTTTAACTTGATGGTACCCTGCTTTATGTTAAAGAAAAATAATCCTTATAACGATCACAATTTTGCAAACCTAGCCTTATGTTTTGATCAAATTTCAACGCCACTTTTATTAACACCACTCTGATTTGCACAACTATCTTTAAGCTACCTTAAAACATAACTTTTACACCAGTTTACCAAGAAGTCTTGGTTCACCTGTACACATGTGTACTGTACATGTCTATGTTTCAGCATGACTTGCTCAAGATTTCAGAGTGTCTTGGCCTCGAAACTCAAGTCTGGTCTCTTGAAATCCAGTTGTTCAATACCACCATGCCAGGGTTCCATATAGCAGTCAACTCATACCAAGATTAAAACATTGGTACAAAGAATTTAAGTTGTTCCATACCAAACTGTTATTACGGTATCATTTTATTTAAATTACATATTATTTAACACTAATTAAATTATGATTTTCAAGTAGTAATGTCCGTCGTTAATTGGTTGTAATTACCTTAAAATGACACAGCATTATACAGCCAGATTGTTTATTGATTGGCTTAAATTATGAAAAGCGATACTTAAATTGTTTATTTTGGCAGGTATTTAGCATAAATTTATGAGACATATACATGGTACCGATTTAACACATTCGTGTGTTAAAAGCAAAAATTTTTGGAATGGATGAACCAGATCTTGGAACAGCTTGACTGGTGCCGATGGTACAGAATGACTTGATTCAGGTCTCTTCATTTTCCCACATCTAGTTACAGATCATTTAACTAGCCCTTTAATTCCACTGTGTTATCACACACTTTGAGAACCGTTCAATTCAAAATTGACTATCAGGGTTTGACACTAACGCTAGCCCGGGGCTATTGAATGTTGTGTTCGGGCTACCTTCCATCCCATCAATGCTAGCCCGATGGGCTAGTGTAATTTTAAGACATTTTACTGTATACTATGGTGGATTTAACTATGTGTAATAGTCTAAACCATGTAGAAATCAGTTTCTTTGACCCGACGTTCGTCATTTCGATCGTACCAAACTGCATATTGTTGATGGAAAACATCCAAAGTCATCCACAGACTTCCGGTCAATTGGGGTCAAAAGGAAATTATTGGTGTCACGGCAAGGCCCCGTCCTAGGTCAAAAGCGGAAACGGACCTTCCAACAGTCGTTAAGTGGCTGGTATAGGAAAAAGGAGCGAACGTTATGTTTTGTGATGCGTTAAAAAAGGGGTCAGCAGGGGGAGCGGTACGTTTGTTACTAGTTGTTCAAACTTTCATCTTTGACAGCATAAGGGCACATTCGGCTTGTTAGAGAACATGTTAAGGCTGCGTGTAATGCAACAGGCTGCTGAATGAGTTGCTATAGATAGTAAATTAGAATTGAAATGTAGAGGAAAAAAGTGTCAGAATTTCATTTTTTTTCTAACCATGCTTTTACATCCAAATATGCTCAGAATGCAGGATTTGCTTCTTCATTTAATTTTTTTACTGGGGGAGACCCCTCCATTCCCCTCTGGTGGGAGGACAGGGACTTCCCTGCCTATATAAATGGTACCAAATATCGGTACCATCCCAATTAGAAAAAGTTGGGAAAATTCCCAATTCAGGAAAAAATCCCAATCAATTCACCGGTTTTTTCTAATCCAGATTTTGTTGGTTCCGTTTTGTTGATTTCGTCTTTCTTTCCCAAGCAGCCTAAAGTCGATCCCTGTACTGTAAGTTTGCAATGTAGCGACAAGTTGAAGGGTACCACTCAAACTATTAACCCTTCTCAAGTGAACACTGCTCTTTCTGTCGTTGATCACAAACTAAAAACTAAACTGGCTGGAGTTCAAACAAATGTTAAGACCGACCCCGGCAAGTCTCAATGACGAGGCGGAAGTGATGACCACAGACTGACTGTCATATGCATGGTCACTTCAGAAAGTCAAACGGTAACCATGGTTGCTGCAACGTCCAGTGTGCCACTTAAAAACATGTCTATAATTATGACTATCTGTGTGTAACTACAGTGTTACTAACTTTTTGTAACTATAAAAACCATAATACAGTATTACTTGGTGTTTTAAGTGTTTTTTTAATATGCAGTTTAACAATTTTTCCCTTCATGTATCGAAATTTACCCAATTTGTTGATTGTGGCAATTCCCAAAATACCCAGGAAAGTCCCTGGAGAGGCGACTGCCCGCTCTTGCACCCACCCCTGCCTACAGGCAGGTGGGCTAGCTACCTCTTTTTATGGGGGACTTGTGCCTAAGAAAGTTAGTGTCTAACCTGGACTATTCTTAATATTAATGTGCTTTCTGCACACCCGATCAAATTTTCACAACCGAATTTTATAATAGTTTTAAAAAATGTCATGTAAAAACTGCAGGAAATGGAAAGACAAAACACATCATAGCTCAACACAAAACACTAAATATCTATAAAGATAAGGGAGGCTACTCCATCAAAATTTGGACATGTAAAAACATGTGGGTTGATTATCATGAATGATCATGATTTTACCAAATGTTAATAAACAACGGAGACCTTATTAATAACCAAACAAAGTAATGTGAAAGAATATTATGTTACTTCGTCATTTAAGTTGTATTCTTAAACGAACACTATGGAAACATTTCGAGAATGTTCTGGAAATCATAAACACAAATAGCATAAACAGCATGGTTGTCACATGGCTGCGATGGTCTTTGGAAAAGAGACGATTAAACGCCACGGGGATTCTTTGTGATTGAAGAAAAACTTAAAAATAACAGTCTAGTAATTAATTTACTGAGTTTCACATTTAGTTATGGAATATATATTACCTGAGCACCGTCTTTTAACATCTGGGCAAAGCCCGGTGGTGTCGGTACGTGCATCGCCATGATTGCGTCCCAGAATGCCAAGGTGCGTGGTGACGGAAATATCCGAGAGTTGCCGACAGCGTGCGGAAATAGATTGTTCGAGAGCGCATGCGATCATTAGGTTGACAAGAGCAGAAGACAATACACAAATTTTGAGTTTGTTTTGGTGTCATACACGACGAATACATGCGAGGATCACAAAATCTGTGCTGGTATACATCTCGAAAAATATGAAGAGGAGAAATGCTGATTGTGGCAAGCTACGACGCCTTCCAAAGCGAAGCAAAATAACGGAAGGTTTCTACGGAAGGTACATTCCCCATTTCAATATGGCAGCAGGCTGTACTGCAAAATTATCATATGGAGACAACTTTGACAGATATAAGGCTCAAGTCGAAATTGTCAACAAATTGTGTATTGTATGTCAAGATATTTTGACCTTCTGCACATGGTCACAACCATCTCGTGTCACTTGACACTGTTGTTTGTCTTGAAATGCAGTTTTAATTCGCATTACAAGAGATCGTTTACAATAATCCACAGTCTCTGTTGCAACATCACATGGTAATCAGCTGCTGTCTTACCATTTAGGCATACTCGGTGGAAACCAGCTAATTACCTGTCAGCCATGTTTGTTACACGTTAACAATAAATCCAAAAGATTGTATTTGTGGTTTGCTTTATTAGCCCGGTGTTTATGATCGAAATGAATTTTAAAATTCAGAAGAGCATGTGTTATAAAGCTTTTCATTGTAGGCCATATCTAATGTGTAACAAGGCTATTTACATTAATATCACTGGATCGATGCAATGTTTACAATACAGGACTTTTCAAAATTTCCTTTAGTTATTAATTAAAAGAACACATATTCCTGTAAACAGAAATATCCTATTTAAGTGTTCTGTTTATATGCAGAAAAAATTGTAGTACATCATGTTAATTAGTAAAGAACAGATCTATACAGTCCACTTGCCTTGGTTTCCTATGGAAAGATATATAGAAATTACCAGAACTCTTGAGGTCCATTACAGAAAGCAATTGAAATATATTAATGTGATTTTCAATATTTTGTAAACAGTGATTTATTTATTATAGAGTGAATATAGGGCAAAATTCCTGCTGTATTTTCAAAAATTATATGCAAAAATCACCTTATATTCCTCAAATAATGCTAATTGTGTGTGATGTTTTCCCAAAGTCACAAGACACAGGCCCCTGCGGAAAGGAAGTAGAAAAATCACTGGTAAACAATGGAAGTAGTCTACTTGTTTTGTTCAGTCATGCATTTCTCAAACACTACATTTAAGGAAATTTAAGCTATTTTTTATTTATCTTTACTGGTTCAGTGACAAGATCAAAGATTTTGTTGTTGTTAAGACAGTTTTCTTTGGGACTAATTATATTCTTTTGATAGGTCTTGTTTTGGTCTATTTAACTATAGGCCTAATGCTTCTTATCTTAACAAAATGATGAATTTGTTAGATTATTAATTACACTGTCACACTATGGCTCACTACATACAGATCCTCTAATAATGTAAAACTGTATTGTATTGGCTAGTGGTGTACCGATAATCGGAAACATCGATTAAATCGAGTTTGAAAAGGATCCGATCCTATAATCGATTTTGCTGATGAAAGATCGGTTATGTTCAATTGTATTGAAATCCTTTTCTGACTTGAAGCAGACGCAACATCTGCACCAACATTATAAATTTGGTGGTTAATATAAAAATGGAATTGTATATGGTAAAACAGAAGAATTGCTTTTCGTTGTGTCACTTGTATTCGTTTCATATAATACATACATCTGCATTTTGTATCAACCGAAACCGCCAAATTTGAAAGCTAGTAAAATGAAGCTAGCAGAGTGTTTTTCGTGATAAATTATTATTAATATGGTATGTTATAGTGATTGGAGCATTCAAATGGGGGTAATTAGTACCTAAACTGTGGGTACACCTAGTTGTCATCAAGTTTTGAGTCAAAACAGAGATGTAATTGAATCCTTCCTTCCGCCTAGATTTCGGAAACAAGTATTTTCTCATTAGTCGGCACAATTACATCAGATAATAAATCAGGCGGCCTCTATGTTACACGAGAATGTCATTTAAACCGAGAATCGATTATCGAACGATTATGGAGTTCCGATTAACGATCTTGAATATTTGACCGTTTCCCAGCACTACCCAATACTTAACAACACAGCTACTAAATAGAAAATTTATATATTCAGGCAGTCTGTAGTGTATACTTTATACAAGTGAATGTTTTATGTTGTTAATAAGTGCATTAAATTGTTACCTAATTGGTAGATACAAATAGTTCAGTTGCTTTACCACTATGTTATTGCTAGAGTTGATTTATATGGGACACTGCAGAATATATAGGGGACATAGATAGCTGGTTGGTAGCGTTGTCTCCATTGTAACATTTTGGGCTTGTTACATGTACCTTTTTCTTTTCTGTCATAACTGCGGAGTTTTCCTCTTTGCAATAGTGTTTCTGTTGCAGAATTCAGAGAGCTACGCATCACTTACTAAAATACCATGCTGAAAGCACCTAGCACCAGTGTTCCCATTAACGCTGATATGTGTGTGGTACGCACATATTCTAATTAAATCATGTACAGATTCTTTTTTATCATTAATAAATATTTAGTACCAGGTAAATATTATTTACAAAATATCGAGCACAGAATGAAAACACACTGAATATGATAATTCTTATTTGGTTTTATATAATAAGTACATCATTCCAGACATCAAAAACTGGTACCCCCAAAATCTGCTTGCGTAATCCTGTTTTGCAAACCTTGGGGGTACCAAAACCCCCAGATAGAAAAATGAGTGGGAACTCAACACTATCACAGTATCAAACTTGGTCATGTAATTCTGACACAAGTAAACCAGTCATTGCATGCGCTTACCAAAATATGAGTATTTAGCAGGGAATAGCAACTACATGTACATGTACCTCTTTTAAGGACTTTGTACTGTACATGTGTGTCCTAAAAAAAGATCATGAACAGAAACTAAAACACAAGTTAAGGATTCATGTTGAGGAGGCACGGTAGTCCAGTGGTAGGACGCCAGGCTCATGACTGAAGGGTTGCAGGTTTGGCCACGGCACCTCAATGTGTTGTATCCTTGATCAAGATACTTGACTCTGCTTGTTCCAGTCTACTCAGCTGTAAATGAGTACATGGTTGGGCAGTGCTAGAATTGTTGAATGGAAGTTGTTAGCGCCGAGATGGCATCTCCGGCTGTATACTAGTCCCCAGGGTGTTGAGAAATGTATTGGCTGGTTGCAAAGGCCCTATAACCATGGATAATAATTTGTGAACCGCTTTGAGATGACCTATGAACTAGGATGTGATAAAGCAGTATATAAGAACTTCCAATTATTATTATTATCCCTATACCACTGCAAAAAAAACTATGCATTGGAAACATTTTTTGGGCATGACTTTGTATTGTGTTCATAAAATCATTTCTGGAGAGAAAACCATACCTTGCAGAATTATTTTTTGGGGAAAAAGAATAGAAAGGTGAAATAGAATACATTTTAACAACAATGTTCTGATTAAAAAAAATATTGGGGTCAGACAGATTTGAACTATGGACTCAATATATACCCGACTTAGCTACCTGAAAGTGGGACAGGGATCCTTAGGATACAAGAAAAGATAATATCCCAACTATTGCTAATGGGTGCTTTTTAACATGTTGTCAATGTGCATTGATAAGTTCTACTACATTTATGAGCATTATGAGCAATATGACACATTTGAAGAGGCATTTGAATGGTCAAATTCTTTTCATGTAATTAGCTTAAGTTTACATGTTCTGAGGACTGAGGACACTGTCATGTTAAACTTTTATGGAGACATTGTCATTTGATTTCAGTTATTATTAAGTCCCCCAAACATGGTTTGGGGACTTATTGTTTTTGTTCCTCTGTGTTCTTCTTCTTCTTCTTCTTCTTCAGCCATGAACTTGTCCAGAGGTTTTCTCAGAAACCATTGAGCGGATCATCATGAAACTTCACACATATACTCATTAGGGGGTCAAGGTGTGCAACAGGCTATTTTTATCTCGACCGGAAGTCCAAGATGGCCGCCAGAACCTTACTTCCGGTTTTGTAGTTTTTGGCTCTGATTTCGTTGAAAATTGGCACATAAGGATTTTCAGTGCTGCCGAAAACAATGGAAACACTTTCGAACAGCTCAGTTGTCATGGTAACGAAATGGAGGCCTCTGATTGGTCAAAAATGGAGGCCTCTGATTGGTCGAAATTTAGTTGTTTTCTGATTCTGCCCAAAATTGGTACATAGGGGTTTTCAGGGATTCCGAACACAATGGTGACAGTTTCGAAAAGTTCAGTTGTCATGGTAATGAAATGGAGGCCTCTGATTGGTCGAAATTTAGTTGTTTTCTGATTCTGCCCAACATTCGTACATAGGGGTTTTCAGGGATTCCGAAAACAATGGTTACAGTTTCGAAAAGTTCAGTTGCCATGGTAACGAAATGGAGGCCTCTGATTGGTCGAAATTTAGTTGTTTTCTGATTCTGCCCAAAATTCGTTCATAGGGGTTTTCAGGGATTCCGAACACAATGGTAACAGTTTCGAATAGTTCGCTAAGGTTCGCTAAGGTTAGCCAATGTCACCTATCCTATTTTACATGTTTTACATAAATTTTCCAATGCATTCCAAGTTTGGCATGTAGGTGTATGATGGTACCGCAAACACAACTATGACATCCGTTTTCTAATTAAACAAAATGGCTGCTATATACTGGGTTCTGATTGGTCGAAATATAGATGTTGTCGGATTCTGCCCGGAATTGGTACATAGGGGTTTTGAGGGATGCCGAAAACAATGGTAACAGTTTCGAAAAGCTCAGGTACCATGGTAACTAAATGGAGGCCTCTGATAAGACGAAATTTAGAAGTTGTCTGATTCGGTCCAAAATAAGTACACATGGGTTTTGAGGGATGCTAAACACGATCGTAACAGTTTTGAAAAGTTTAGTTACCATGGTAAAGAAATGGAGGCCTATGATTGGTCGAAATTTATCTGTGGTCTGAATCTGCCCGGAATTGGTACATAGGGGTTTTAAGGGATGCGAAAACACAATGGTAACAGTTTCGAACAGCTAAGTTGCCATGGTAACAAAATGGAGTCATCTCGTTGGTCGCAATTTAGCTGTTGTCTGTTTTTGCCTAAGTCCCTAAGTCCAACAGGGGTCGTTGGGGGACTTCTGTAACGGCCATCCGTTACAATTAGTACTAGTTTATTTTCATTTGCAAATTTCATTTATAACACCAAGAACTAGTGTTTTTCAGATGATTTTTTGGCATTCAATCCAGAAGTTTAACGTTTGTTTTATATTTGTAATAATTTGCTTTGTTATAAAATTGAGGAAGTTATTTTAGTGATAAAAGAAATCCTGGAATTAATCACTACCTCAGAGGTTCATTAATGCTACATTATAAGTTACTTTTGTTAGGCATCATACAGTCCATCTTATTCCAGTTTATATGTAGCCATATACCTAAATAATCATGTGCTCTTGGAATTGGTGGGGTGGGGGAAGTGTTTTAGTAACGTTAACCAAATTAGAAATTTCTGGAATTATAGCTTAATAATGATATTTTTCACCGAGTATATACCTGGTATATCATCTAAAAGACAAATCCTTATTTATGAAAGCTTATTAATTTTAGATGTAGTTGTTACATTGACATATGAAAAGCACTGCAATGTAGTAGTGGCTCCAAATTCAAGTGGAATAGACTTAACTTAAAATAAACACTGCCTACTGGAGAAGGAAACCAACAAAGAATTGAAACATAATCTATTGTTTCCTTTTTGCTTTCAGATGATAACAGGAATTTGAATGCTATAAGTATTGCATAAAAAAACATAAATTTAATATGATGAAAATTTTATTTCACTTTTAACACTTGTTTAAAACTTAGAAAGATCAACAGACTTTAATTAACCCTTCAGAGCCATAATACTTTCCTCAGGTTTAGTTAATCTTCCCTCCCAGGCATGTTTTGTTATACAGTTTGTATTTAATTACGAATGACATGTATGGAGATCTTGTCTGGGATGTATAATTTTATGTTTCAAGTACTAGCCTACAGGCAGATATTGGAATATTGTACTAGTTTGACCTGTATTTTCACATAGGTAATACAGATTGAAAGTTTTTGCTGGCCCAGACATAAATATACTAGGTCTGTGTCAGTGAATTTTGCATCTCTGTTCATATGCTATTAATATAATGTACAATAAACACCTTGTTAATTGATTGCCTTATTGACAGATGTCATAAAGATGTAAGATAATTAAGAATGGACCTGGAATTGATGAAAAGTGTATACACAGGGCCCTATAGTCACTAACACGTACATGTAGGTAGTCTGGCTTATATATTAGCAACACTTACTTGACCATGTACATGCAAAGCCAAGCTATCAATGGATTTCATGTTGCTTTGATGCAAATGTGTTGTTTGTTTAATGGTATTTTTATGTTAAAAACTGATATTTTTCACTTTATTTCTTTGCAGCACTTTTCTGTACCTGAAGTTTCTAATGGTTTGGGCCCTTGTGCTGATGGCAGATTTCATATTGGAATTTCGCTTCGAGTACCTGTGGCCATTTTGGCTTCTAGTCAGGAGTGTGTATGATTCATTCAAATACCAAGGATTGGTATGTATCTGCTTAATGTATTGTATTTATTTTCAAAGTGATAAGATATTGAAATTTTTGGGATACTGAAAGAATAATAACATTTCTTAAAACATTTCTTAAAACTTTTACACAAACGTATAATGTATAACATGAAATAATCTTGGGTACATGATTAGGTACTAGTATTTCCTTTTGCAGTTGTACCTTTACAAATCATTAATTTTTTTATACGATAATTTTGTCTGTCTGATAGTTTGTTTCATCTTAGATAGTCAAATCATTCACTGTGCTTATCAGTGGTTTTTGTCAGACAGGTGACACAGTACCTTTTCACATCCTATCGGGGAATAAAACCCAGGCTGTATTTGTGAAAGATAAGTGGGCATTCATGTGCGCCACCTACCTAATAATAATATTTTGCACACAGGTATTTGAGTACTTGACTCATGCTTTTCCTGTGGGAAACACACAGATTTTGAAAACCCTTTATTTCGAGATATATTCGAAATTGTACAAATTGAGTACAGGCAGCCATCTTGGATTTTGACAGCTAAAGTTTGTTATTGCTATTTCTGAGAAAGGAATGGTGGGATCTTTCTCAAATTTAATATGTAAGGTCCTTTTGGCTTCTTGTTTTGCATGTTAACATTTGAGACTGATCGGTTTAAAAGAAAAATGGCCAACCAGCAGCCATCTTGGATTTTTGGCAGTTGATGTGTGTTAACGCTATTTCTCTCAAAGGACTGGAGGGGCACATTCTCAGATTTAATAGATAGGTTTCCCTTGGTCTCTAGTTGTGCATGATCACTTTAGAGACTGATCAGATAAACAAAATGGCTGATAGTAGACTATCTTGGATTTACACAGTTAAGGTTTGTTATTGCTACTGGTATTTCTCAAAAAGTACTGGATGGGTCTTTCCCGAGTTTAACATGTAAGTTCCCTTTGGTCTGTAGTTGTGTATGTTTTTGAGACTGATCCAAAAGACAAAATGGCTGACTGGTGTCCATCTTGGATTCTGACAGTTCAGGTTTGATTTCTTACAACTTATTTGCAAACACCTATCCTGGTATATATGGTGAAAAGTTGCATGCTAACAACAGGTCATTCTGACCTACATTTTGACCAACCGACTATTCCATCTTAAATTCCTAAATTATATTACATGACATGTTTGTTAAATAAAAGTAGACATCTTTCCTTTGTCCTATTTTCCCCTTACATTACACCTGTGACATTTTGCCATCAAACTATGTGGCTTTTGGCCTCTTGTTGCTGATGTTGTATTAAATATTTCAAACTTGCATTTATGTTAGCAGCTATATATAATTTAATGTAATTCGGACAATTCCTGTTAAAGTTTGTTTAAAGTAATTGGAGATTTAATGTGATATGATATTCTATGGAATTGATTAATTAATTTGAACAAAAAGCAAGGTAAAGGGAACTTTGCTGATCTCAAAAGTCAAAAGTGAAGTTGAAAATCTGAATCCTTCCATTACTGCAAGATTTGACAAGCATGTTAAGTCAGGGGGAAAAACTCTTGGTTGCCAAGTAAATTAAACTAGTTGTACAATGACTAATATTTAAATTCATCACAGACCGTAGCTTGCACAATTTTTTCAGTGATTTAAAAAAATCATACTTATTAAAAAAAAATCTCTTGTACTATGATGGATTCAGGCTAAGGAACTTAAATGAAGGGTTATATTGTACAGGACATGTTTTAATGTTTTTTTTCAGACAAAAAGTCTATTTCTCAAATAGTTGATTGGCGTTTGACTGATCAATGCATTTGTGAATCATTACAACAGTCTGCTAGACTGACACTGACATTCTATTTAAGTTTTCTTGACACTGCTAGCTATCCTAATCAATATTAAAATTTATGGGAAATGGTTTTAATTAGCTAATGATTTTATTTTTGGGACTGATCAGTTTTCTTGCTATGTCATTAATTAATTTTTGTATTGGCATATTTAATGACAAATTCAAATTTTAACACTAGTTTACAAAATTAAGTACACACGATGATAAAGTGATTTACAGCTAATGATAATTAATATGACTTGAAAATCTTATTTAGTAGATATTCTTTTATGTACAATATGAATTAATAAAGGAAATAAAATATTATTTAATAAGATAAAAACCAAAAGAAATGAAGTATTGCAGAAATTCATGATTGATGAAACAATTTTTTTTTTCAAGTTCATTATTTCATCTTTACACCCATAGACATGCATACACATATATGCATGCAGTGAAAAGATAACACTAATACAATTACTAGATTGCAAATAAAACAGGTGCTACAAGCCTGCAATACAGATGGCAGATAATTATATAACTTGAGTTTAGCACATTTAAATAAATTCAGTAGGCATAGGTTCTGTTACAAGTAATGCAGTTACTATTTGGCTGAAATATTTTTTAGCTGGGGCCTTTCCAATTCTGACAGGTGTTCACTCCAGAGTTTTACAAAGATTCCTATTGTTTTTCTTTACAGGCTTTTTCAGTGTTCTTTGTGTGTATCGCAGTAACATCAGATGTCATTTGCTACCTCTTTATACCAGTGCAATGGCTGTTCTTTGCCGCTAGTACATATGTCTGGGTACAATATGTTTGGCATACAGGTAAGCTATAAATGATAAATCAAGACAGATCTGTTTGTTGCATAAATGTATTTACCCAATAACTCCGTATGTTTTATCACTGATAAAATGGTTTAAAATAGCCATTATTAGCAGTGTCACAAGATTGGATGTTTACACACTGCATGTGTGATCAAACATCTTCAAGGCTTGGCATTGAATTGCTTTGACTTGAGTGTTTTTCATTGGTCACCATTGGACAAACTACGGACATGAGTGACCATGCACAGTCACACTTGACTTATGTGTTTTTAATTGGTCACCATTGGGCAAACTACAGACATGAGTGACTATGTACAGTCACACTTGACTTACATGTTTTTCATTGGTCACCATTGGGCAAACTACATACATGAGTGACTATGTACAGTCACACCTGACTTGAGTGTTTTTCATTGGTCACATTGGGCAAACTACGGACATGAGTGACTGTGCAGTCACACTTGACTTACGTGTTTTTCATTGGTCACCATTGGGCAAACTACGGACATGAGTGACTGTGCAGTCACACTTGACTTACATGTTTTTCATTGGTCACCATTGGGCAAACTACGGACATGAGTGACTGTGCAGTCACACTTGACTTACGTGTTTTTCATTGGTCACCATTGGGCAAACTACGGACATGAGTGACAATGTACAGTCACACTTGACTTGAGTGTTTTTCATTGGGCACCATTGGGCAAACTACGGACATGAGTGACTATGTACAGTCACACTTCACTTGAGTGTTTTTCATTGGTCACCATTGGGCACACTACGGACATGAGTGACTGCACAGTCACACTTGACTTGAGTGTTTTTCATTGGTCACCATTGGGCACACTACGGACATGAGTGACTGCACAGTCACACTTGACTTGAGCGTTTTTCATTGGTCACCATTGGGCAAACTACGGACATGAGTGACTATGTACAGTCACACTTCACTTGAGTGTTTTTCATTGGTCACCATTGGGCAAACTATGAACATGAGTGACTATGTACAGTCACACTTGACTTGAGTGTTTTTAATTGGTCACCATTGGGCAAACTACAGACATGAGTGACTATGTACAGTCACACTTGACTTGAGTGTTTTTCATTGGTCACCATTGGGCAAACTATGAACATGAGCGACTGCACAGTCACATTTACATGTTTTTCATAAATTCCCATTGAGCAAACTTAACGGACATGAGCGACTATGCAGTTACAAACGTTTTGATAATAATAATAATTAGAGGTTCTTATATACCGCTTCACCATAACCTAGTTTGTAGGTCGTCTCAAAGCGGTTCACAAATTATTATCCATGGATTTAACCAGTATAATGATGTCTCGCCTTCAAATGAAGAGAGACGTATTGTATTGGTACTGGTTCTTCTTCTGGTTCTTCTAATCGCAACTTGTCCGGGCCATAGCTTTTAAACCATTAAAGATATCTTGATGAAACTTTAAGTATGCATGCATCACCAACAGAAGGTGTGTAGTGCACTGGAATTAGGTCACTGTGACCTTCACCTCAAGGTCAAAGGTCAAATAAGTGCAACAATTTCAGTAAATTCTTGTCAGACCCATAAATTTTAAACTGTTACAGATATCTTGATCAAACTTGAAGTATACCTGCATCACAGCGCACTGGAATTAGGTCTCGTGCTTCACTATATACAGAGTTATGGCCCTTTGTTTAATCTTAATACCAAAGTTTGTCTGGAGCATAGGGTCCATGTTATTTCACCTACATTGACCAAACTAACCATATTTATGTATCTTGCTTGGGAAGGCGGGATATCTGGTAAACAGTTACACTGACCTTTAATTTAACAAAACTGCATCCTAAGAAAAGGATGTACCCCTCAGGAGTATTGACATTCATGAACTTGATACAACGTCTAATTAAAGGTCCTTTCCAGACATGAAGAGTATTTAATTTTTGCATATTTGGTTTTGAAAAGGTTTTTGAAATTTGTGGCTTTGAAACAGCACATTTGAACATTGACTTTTACCTGCGCTGAACCAAAAAATGCATCCTAAGAAAAAGTTGTGCATTTACAGCATAATATCCATAGATAAAAATTATGGCTTAGTCCTTAATTATTCATTACAGTTAATAAGAAAAAGAATATGATGTCATGGCAGCAATCTTTGATTTTGGATCAAACTAGAAAAGGTCTCCTGGGATATAATTTGATGAAATCGGCTTTTGTAGAGCAGAAGAAAAGTGATTTTTAATATACATGTATTGGTGGTTATTGAAAAGATTGAAAAGAACAGTCAAAGCATGTGACATTAACAATGTTTATCATGTATACAATTAAGACATCAATTTAGACTGGACTATTTTTAGCCCACCATTATCAGATGGTAGGCTATTCAAATCATATGATGTTAGTGGTCTGTGGTCCGTCCTTTGGTTTTTTCGCTATTTCTCAGAAAGTACTGGAGAGATCTTTTCAAATTTGATAAGAAAGCTCACCATGGTCCTTTGTTGTGCATGTTTACTTTTGAGACTGATCAGATAAACAAAATTGCTGACATGTGGTCATCTTGGATTTTGATAGTTGAAGTTTGTTATCGCTATTTCTCACGAAATATCTGAAGGATCTTTCTCAAATTTAATATGCGAGTTCCTTTGGCCCTTTGTTGTGTATGTTTACTTTTAGCTCATCTGCCTGAAGGGCAAGTGAGCTTATGCCAATGGCATGGCGTCTGTCCGTCAACTGTTCCTTCGAAAGACTTCTTCTGAAGTATGGACAGGCCTAGAGTCATGATATTTGGGTTGTAGCTTCAGTGGTAAGAGCCCAACAAAGTTTGAGAACGATAATTACGTTGACCTACTTTCAAGGTCACAGGGGTAAAAAGTGTCAAATACTTTAAACAACTTCCTCTGAAGAACTGAAATGTATAGAATCTTAATTAATATGTGTCTGGTAGCTTCTTGGGATAGAGCATAACAAAGTTTGCAAATGAAAATGACCTCAACCTACTTTTTAGGTCACAGGGGTAAAATATGTCAAACACTTCAAACAACTTCTTCTGAAGAACTGAAAGGTACAGAATCTTAATTTTTGGCTGGTGGCTTCTTAGGATGGAGCCCGATAAAGTTTGAGAATGAAAATGATCTTGACCTACTATCAAGGTCACAGGGGTCAAATATGTCAAACGATTCAACAGACTTCTCCTGAATAATCTGAAGGCATAGAATTATAATATTTGGCTGGTAACTGTAACAGATATACCCTGACAAAGTTTCCTATTGAGAATCAACCCCACCTACTTTCAAGGTCACAGGGGTCATATATAGCAAAAACTGCAAACAGCTTCTTTTGAAGAAGTGAAAGGCATGGAGTCGTGATATTTAACAAGTAGCTTCCTTAGATGGAGTATGCTTGGCCCAACATGATTCAATGCTGTAGAAACCATGCCCTCATCACAATGGGGACAGGAGAATGGGACCCAATAAGGTAAGAGTGTTACTGAGGGACAGTGCAAATTTTTGGAAATATTTGTAGTACAGTACACTGTATAATATTTAATATTTTGCTATGATTGCTTAAATATCCAGGTGAGCTATACGTCGGACCTCTTGTTTAACTATCGCTATTTCTCAAAAAGTACTGGAGGGAACTTTCTCAAATTCAATATGTAGGTTCCCTTGGTTTCTAGTTGTGCATGTTTCATATTGAGACTGATCAGATAACAATATGCCCCGCCAGGCAGCCATCTTGGATTTTGAAAGTTTGTTATCAATATATCTTAAAAAGCAGTTGACAAATATTTCTCAAACTTCATATGAAGGTTACCCTTTGTCCAAAATTGTGCATGTATTATATTGAGACTGATTAAAAAAGAAAAGATTGACGCAGGAGGTCATCTTGGATATTGACATTTTAAAATATCACTATCTCTGAGGAAGTGCTTTACAGATCTTTCTCATTTGCAATGATCGGTTCTATTTCTTTCACATTAAGAAATGTTCTAGTGAATTTGTGAGACAAAAAAAATCTCTTTGAAGGTTGTCTTTTAATTAAACACAGCAGAATGAAATTAAGTTCAAAAGTTACCTCAAGGTGCATTTACTGTTTACATGACTCAATTAACAGATCAGAGAAAAGATCGAACTGACATATAACTAATGAAGATGGTACGATGGTGGGTGCCAAGATCCCTCTGAAATTTCTTGTCGTTTAGCTTCTTACACAGTGTACATACAGATGTAAAAAAAATACGTTAAAATGGAAAAATTGTCTACAAAATATCAAACTTCCTGAATGGAGTTTATTGATTTATTAATTGGGAAATGGATATGACATCATGGCTGCCATATTGGGCTTTTTATCACATTGAAAGTGTTGGAACTTAAATTAAATTCTGATCTACAACAAAGCAAAAATTTATAAAGACATCTGCTGCCATTCAGAAGATTTAAAGCAAGCTAAGTTTTGGCAGAAAAATGATATTGAATTAGAAATATAACAAAAACAAAGGTCTGCTCTACTTTTGGTGAACAGTCCTGAACAATCAATAATGTACAGTGTATGCCAAAATCTGGTATATTTAATATTGTTATTCCATGTACATGTACAACGCCCTCATATTGCTTAAATGTTCTGTCTAATGTCATCAGAAGACCATGGCTGTAACATACCTGTAACTTTAAACATGTTGATATGCACATATATCACACCCAATAGAAACCAATCTGTGATTTGAAAGCTTATGTTACTCTATTATTGTGTCTGTATAGTAGATTACTGTGTGGTCTATACTAAATCGCTGTTCTTGAGGCCATATTTGTCTGCTAAAATCAATTGAATTATAGTCTAGGCAACATCTGTAGAACATGCAGAAAGCTCCCAGATTGTCATTGATTTCTGAGGATAAACTGAGGCATAGGGTGAGAACATGGTCGGTTAGCACAGTGGTGCTCCCACTGAAACCAGCAGTCCCACGTTTATCTGTATAGTTAGATCCATGCTTACAGAGGTGTACAAAAATACAGGAGACATAGCTATCCCTGTCGCTAATAACCTTTCTAATTACAGCCCCAGTGGTATCTTATTATAAAAATATCCACAAGCCATGTTTATACGCTGAGCTGTACCCTTATACAGATCCCTGATCGCTTGTATAGAAAATTGAGCCTTCAGCTAGCTCAAGAGTGTTCATGCTTAACCAAAGAAAGGATAACAGATTAATTTAAGTTGATGAAAAGAAATTTTATACCAATTTGTGTGTGTCCAAAATTCCAGCATAAAGATAAAATGTGTTAACCTTTCAAATGTTTCATACCAGGATAAACCATTATTGAAATATTAACTATTTGAGAAATGTGCTTCGTTATACAAAAAATAATTCTTAAATTTGTTCTTTTATCCAAGAATGTTTTTATGACTGGAAACCTGTGAATTGTGAATAGAAATTTAATTATAATTCAGTCATTATAGATATTTAATGATTTTTAGCTCACCTGACCCAAAGGGCCAAGTGAGCTTATGCCATGGTGCGGCGTCCGGCGCCAATATTTTACTTTAAACAACTTCTTCTCAATAACCAAAAGGCCTAGGATAAGGATATTTGTAGGAAATGGGGATAAAGGGCTACCAAGTTTGTTCAAATAAATGACCTTCATCTATTTTCAAGGTCACAGGGGTCAAATATGTGAAAAACTTTAAAACAACTTCTTCTGAATATCTAAGAGACCTAGGATAATGATATTTGGCCAGTACCATGCTAGGATGAAGGGCTACCAAGTTTGTTGAAATGAATGACCTTTATTTGTATTCAAGGTCACAGGGGTCAAATATGTTAAAAACCTTTAAACAATTTCTTCTCAATAACCGAAAACCCTAGGATGATGCTATTTTGTCAGTAGAATGTTGTGATGGAGGACTACCAAGTTTGTGCAACTGAATGACCTTGAGTTATATTCAAGGTCACAGGGGTCAAATATGTTTAAAACCTTTAAACAACTTCATCTGAATAACCAAGAAGCCTAGGATAATGATATTTGGTCAGTAACATGCTAGGAAAATGGGCTACCAGGTTTGTTAAAATGAATGACCTTGAAATATATTCAAGGTCACAGTGGTCAAATACGTTTGAAAGCTTTAAACAACTTAGTTATGTGCATTTTTTTTTGGCATATTTGCATTTTCTCCAAATATTTTAACATCTTTTGATAAAACACTTTTCACAGATCATTCTTCCAATAAAAGAACTAAAAAAAGTGTTTGTTTATATTTTTCAGAAAGAGGCATTTGTCTTCCTACAGTGTCACTATGGTTGCTGTTTGTATACATAGAGGCTTCAATCAGACTGAGGGAGTTCAAAAGTTTACCATTTAATTTAGATCTCTGTAGACCATTTGCTGCTCATTGGTGAGGATTGCTCTTAAATTGCTATGTTTATTTATACATGTATTGCATTAGAATATGCCAGCCTCCTTTACTTCAATACACAACAAGAAAAAAACTTGAACAAAAACGATCACGAACAAAATATCACTGATTGTTTATTGTGAAAAAATTGTTCTGAAAATTTCAGTCAGCCATAAAATACTGAATAAAAATACAATAAGAGAAACACAAAGAGGTAACTTTGGTATTATATTAAGTGTGTTATCTCTACACATTAGCTATTGCAAGAATAATGCATACCAGTTACAATAGCTTTTATCATGCATATTTGTCTATTATTAATTTTAAGGCAGAATATTGATTTGTAAGTTCTAATGGCTATAATAGGCATTGCATGTTCTTTAAATGAAAACAAATAAGATATGGGTCTTGTGCAAAAGCATGTTCAATTGATTTGAACTAAGCCATATTACATCATCGTTTAAAGTGGTATTCTGTTTTACACTTTTTAATGGGCGAAGAGAAACTGCATTGAGGAGCAGTCTTACAATCAATATCTAGTTCAGTGAAGAACGTAATCATTGTCATCATCTCGACTACATGAGTTTTAATTTCTTCATATGGAATGTCAAGCTAGTTATAAATGTACTCGGCCTTTTCACATTCTGTTGTTCTGATTATAGGCTCATATGTTATTAGCCCACCATCATCTGATGGTGGGCTATTCCAATCACCCTGCGTCCGTGGACGGCCGTCCATCGTCCGCCGTCGTCGTCCGTCCGTAAACAATTCTTGTTATCTGTATTTCTCAAGAAGTACCAGAGGGATCTTTCTCAAATTTTATATGCAGGTTCCCCTTGGTCCTGAGCTGTGCAGGGCAACTTTTGAGACTGATCGGATAAACAACATGGCCGACAGGCAGCCATCTTGGATTTTGATAGTGAAAGTTTTTTATCGCTATTTCTCGGGAAGTACGAGAGGGATCTTTCTCAACTTTTAAATGTAGGTTCCCCTTGATCCCTCGTTGTGTATGTTATATTTTGAGACTGATCATAAAAATAAAATGGATTAAAAGAAGAACTAAACAGATCTTTCTCATATTGTAATGATCGATTCTATTTCTTTCACATTAAGTACTGTACTAGTAAATATGTGAAATGACAAACTCACTTTGAAGGTTGGCTTTCATACACATCAGTATTAAGTTTAGATCAAAAGTTACCTCAAGGTGCATTTACTGTTAACATGACTCGATCAAACAGATTAGAGGAAAGAAGAGAAAAGATCGAACTGACAAAGAACTAATGAAGATGGTACAAAGGTGGGCGCCAAGATCCCTCTGGGAGACCTTGTAATTAAATTAGAATTGGAATTAAATCTTAAATCTTGAATGAAAATGAAGCCATTATTGTTATTATTATAAAATCTGTATACAGTTATTAAAATTATTCATCAATGCAATGTTTGTATTTTCAGTATTGGTTATCCAGTTGTCACTTTAGGTTTTGGTTTCAAAAGTTACATATCTTACAAGATGAGATTGGTAAGTATATATTGATCATTTTGCATTTACCATGCTCTCTTGTTAGCTCACCTGGCACAAAGTGACAAGTGAGCTTATGCTGTGGCACGGCGTCCGTCGTCCGTCCGTCGTCAATATTTTACTTTAAATGACTTCTTCTCAATAACCGAAAGGCCTAGGGTGATGATATTTGGCCAGAAGCAAATTAAGATGAAGGGCGACAAAGTTTGTTAAAATTAATGACCTTCACCCATTTTCAAGGTCACAGGGGTCAAATATGTTAAAAACTTTTAACATCTTCTTCTCAATAACCAAACTGCCCAGGGAGACGATATTTGGCCAGTAACATGCTTGGGTGAAGGGCTACCAAGTCTGTTCAAATGAATGACCTTCAATTATATTCAAGGTCACAGGGGTCAATTGTCTTAAAAAACCTTCAAACAACTTCTTCTGAATAACCAAAATGCCCAGGGCGATGATATTTGGCCAGTAGCATGCTGAGATGAAGGGCTACCAAGTCTGTTCAATGAATGACCTTCACCCATATTCAAGGTCACATGGGTCAAATATGTTAAAAACTTTGAACAACTTCTACTCTATAACCAAAATGCCCAAGGTGATGATATTTGGCCAGTAACGTGCTGGGGTAAAGGGCTGTCAAGTTTGTTCAAATGAATGACCCTCCCCTATATTCAAGGTCACAGGGGTCAAATATGTTAAAAACATTAAACAACTTATGAAGAATAACCAAAATGCACAGGGTGATGATATTTGGTCAGTAGCATGCTGTGATGAAGGGATACCAAGTTTGTTCAAATGAATGATATTCACCCATATTCAAGGTCACAGGGGTCAACTATGTTAAAAACTTTTATTAAACAACTTCTTTTGAATAACCAAAATGCCCATGGAGATGATATTTGGCCAGTAGCATGCTGAGATAAAGGGCTAAAAAGTTCGTTAAAATGAATGACCTTCACCTATATTCAAGTTGACAGGGGTCAAATATGTTAAAAACTTTAAACAACTTCTTCTGAATAACCAAAATGCCCAGGGTGATGATATTTGGCCAGTAGC